GATAGGTTTATTACTCTGAAAGGTAAGGAAAGAGGAAAGGTCACAGCCATTTGAAAATCTAAAGGCTCTTTTTAAATGTGATACATATCAGCTTTTTCATCCCAGTTTCTGTTTCATAATTGATACATTAAAAACAGTATCATGTGTATCAGTTGGTAGCAATTTAATGCATATTCTGTAAGTTAAATGAATATTCCTCTAAAATCACTTCTATTTTATAATTTTGGGAAAACCTGTTTTCTATTAATATTTAAATATCAAATAATAAAACCAGCTTCTAATGGCAGGGGAAGTACTTCTAAAACGTGAATTTCTCAGGTTTTATGCTCTATGTTCAGGTAGATAATACATTTCTAGGGGAAAGTGGATTGTAATTTTGCACCCATATATTTCTTTGAATCATTTTTAGAAAGCTCTTACTTAAATTCATGATAAATTCTAAAAAGAAATGGTAACAATATCAGAGAAAGCATTAAAGACACCAGTTCATACTTTTATTTTATTTCATGTTAATGTGGTTAACAATATATTTGGCTTGTATTTACAGTAGCATCATTAGCTTTCCTTTTAGGGACAAGGCTCTAAAATACTTAAGCATGACTATATGTTTATATTCTGTTTCTTATTTTTAGAATAGAAATAAATTTCACCTAATTCTTTTGCATCTTTGATAAATAAAAAAAAATCACAGGTATTATTCACAGTATACAAAATTTTTAATAGTTACTTCCTATTTTTAAAATTGTCTTTTAGCAGTTTTGAAATATGTAAATATTAAATTACTAGGTATTGCATTTGAAGCGATTCAAATTTGACACATATCAATAAACATTTGTCTCATTAGATTTTATTCATTTATTTAATAGGAACTACTTTTTGTTTTAATTACTATTCCCAGAATATGGGAAAATATTAATAATATCAACATTAAGTTTAGAAGATACTATTCTTCATATTTTTTGAGACAACCTGGCTTAAATATAAATTAATATTTAATGTTCTAATTATTTTTTTCTGTAGTAACATCCCCAAAGTTAAACCTCCTTTTAATTTGTAAGGTTTCATTTATGCAGCAGAAGTGTTTTAAGTAACCTCTGTTGCCATTTCACCTCCCTTTAGAAACCAACTCAGTCAAGGAAACTGCTTGTAAAGCATGCCTGTATTGTATATCTGCTCTTCCCACCTTATTCCAAATTAAGGGCATACTATTTTACCTATTATATAGCTGTTAGACTTTAGGGCCTAACACCTGGTCAAATCAGATGCTTACAGAATTGAAGCAAACAACATTTACCTTACCCAGAACTGCCAGCAACTTTATTAAACTTAACAAAGAATTAATTACTTGTAAGATGAATTATAAATTTGATATATTTACCTTCAGTCTGTTTGGTGTTTTTTCTTGTTCATTCAAATGTGAATTCTGGCTGTAAAAAACTGGATTTAAGCACCTTGTATAAGTTATTAATAGCTTAAAAGGATACTAGTTCATCATATCATTGTAAGCATCTATGAATAAGTCTTACAACTAGTTAGGACTTACAATTAAAATCTCTAATGTTACAGGGGCAGAAAAAAAAAGGAAGGAGAGTCTTTGGATGAGGGAACATGGGCCATTTGGCCTGGTAAAAATTTTATAATTATTGGCAAAACTGATTAAGAAATTGGGAGGAGAAAAATAGCGTACATAGCTGTCTTTGACATAAACCAAATAGGACTTGCATATTTGTGTTGTGCCTCTGGAATAGGCATTAAATTGAACTTGACTGTTCCTAATACTTAATTGCAGCAGAAGAAAATGGCATTTAGTGTCCCTAGAAATCTCTTCTTCATTATGGAAATTCATTGTGTTTTAGAATGATGAGCATGAAGGACATTCTTTCATTTTGCCAGTTTTTTATCTTTTTTTTCTGTATTTGTGTATAATCTAGACACTGATAAAGACAGGATTCATTTTAAAGCCTAGTGCTTTTCTCTTTTAAACCATTCTCTTGAATTTATTTTAGGTTACCATTTAATAAACTATTTTGATATTGAACCCTCTAAAATTTCAAAATAAAAAACTCATTTTTGTTAATACTTTTACTAAAGTATTAAAGTAATAAAGTAATGAAATAAGATTTGAATAAATGTCAGTGAGCAATAGGTGTATTTCAAATAAAATTTTAGCAAGTGTTAGCAAAATACCAGATTGTTAATTTCCAAATACATTTTTATTATTAACTTGTATAAATAACTCCTATGAGTGGAAAAATAGAATTTTTGATAAAATAAAGAATACTAATTTTAATATGCAGATAAATTATATAATATTGGTAAACTTTAGATTTACTTATAATCTTGTTCCAAGTCTATTTATTAGTCATAGTATTTCTCATTCTATTCTTGTTTTATTCCTCAGTATATACTTTGATTTATGGTCAATTTAAAGTTTGAAAGTCTTAATCTATAATAAACTGTAGGCTTAATTTTGTGGGATCATTTATTTTATTGCTAAAAGCTGTTTGATTTCTAGGTAAGAGTCTTTCATATCAAAATTTAAAGTATGTCATAGTAGTTTTTCCTACTAATCCCAGTAAGACATTTTTATTGACTTTACCAACCCATTAATAATCTGTGAATTTATTAATAAAGGTGAACACAAAAGCTTCACAAGGTAGTTTATATAGAACAGCTTAAGTATTTTCATGTATAATATAGATTTTTAAGTGAACATATATTTTATACACACACAAACACATACCTCTATTTGAAATTGTTATGAGAATGAATTACATGTGCTGTCTTTAAAAAATTTTAAACTAAAAGGAGATTTATATTGATGTGCCAACCTAAAGAGTGCTTAGGAAAACCTTAGAGAACTGCCTAAGAAATTGATATGTAATCCTGACTACAATATTTTGTCCAAGTGAAGGAAAGATATTTTCTTCCTATAATTATTTTACTTTAATTTCCCTTTCATCATATGCTGAATTTCTGTCAGGTTAGATCATTAAACAGGTTAGATGATCAGGAAAAGACTTGATTGGGCAAATTTGGGATGAGTTTTGGAAAGCTTATTTTTTTAGATCAATTTCCCTGAGCTTTTGTTTACTCATTTTATAAGGCATGTAAGAATACATCATTAGTATTGACCTTTCCTAATTCTTTTGCATCTTAAAAGAGATCAAGACCATATGGCTAAAATATTTACTGGAAAGCTTTTTAGAATATGCATACCAATAATTTTGCTTACTTAATTTCTGTCAAATTGTGATAGTAATTCTTAGTCTTAAATTGTTAAGAACTGTGTTTTATATTCATTTTCCCATTTTTTCCTAAATTGTCTTTTTAATTAATTTAAAAAATAAGCCACAAATTTAAAAAATTTTGTAATTTTATTGATATATAATTCACATACATTATTCACCCATTTAAAGTGTACAATTCAGTGGGATTTTTAAAAGTATATACACAGTTGTACAACTTGCCACCACAATCAATTTTAGAATATTTTCATTCCCCCCAAAAGAAACCCTGTACCCATTAACAGTCACTCTTCATTTTCCTCCAATGGCCTCCTCCCTCAGTTCTAGGCAACTGCTAATCCACTTTCTGTCTCTGTGGATTTGCCTATCTTGGCACTTCATATAAATGAAATCACACATTTGAGTCACAACTACTTTTTCCACCTTTCTGCTAGGTAGGTGATTAGAATAGCAGGATGATTGGACTGTCTCTTTGATTTAGGAGATTGCCAACTATAATAACAGATAATATAAAGCATTTCTTAAAGCAGCATAGATATAACTTGAAGTGTGAAATAAATACGTTTTATTATATATACAACATAGTTATAACTTGAAGCATAGATATAACTTGAAGTATGAAATAAATATATTTTTACATGGATTCTTCAGGACCTTAAATACAGGATAGTGAAATCTATTTTCAGTATATTGTAAAGCAGTTGTAGTACATATATAGCTGTGCCCCAAGAATCTAGTTCATCCTGCATGGGAGTCTCAATTTTCAGTTATTTTTTCTGGCTCTGACTCAGAATAACTTCCTTACATAGTCTCTTTTAAACCTACCTTGCAACAGAACCACCCCAATCTCTTTGTAGCCTATTTACAGTGACCACACAGCTTGGGTTTTCATGGACATTTTTAATTTCACATGTTTCACACCAGTGTCAAATGCCATGTTGTGATTTTTTTATTTTAAAAATTGTAATTGTGTATGTTGTTGGGAAATTTGCCTCCCCCCATGTTGGCCCAGTTAAACTTAATTCATAGGTAATAAATTCAGTGAGTTTTTTAAGCAAGTAAATATTTATTCTCCCAGAATATTCATGAATTTATTATGTAACATTTCAATTAGGTTTATTATCATATATGGTTCCCAAGCTATCTGTTCTTCAGAAAATATATAGGCCCTGGATATTAGGGGTCTCATAGACTTAATCATCCATTTTCCTGGGCATGGTAGTAATTAGTGATAATGTTCTTATTTTCAGAAAATGCATGCTTAAGTATTTAGGTGTAAAGTACCATGATTTTCTGCATATACTTTCTTAAGGTTCAGAATAAAATGTGTGTCTGTATGTGGAGAAAGGAATCAAGAAGATGTAGTAAAATGTTAATAATTGTTGAAGCAAGCAGAGGATATATTGGTTGTTCATTATACTATTATTTTAATTTTTCTATAGATATTTGAAAATTTTTCATCATAAAATATTAAGGAAAATATATATACTCCCTTTCTGTAAATTATGCTCTTTTTGTCAAGGTATGTAGCATTTAAAAATATTGGACTCAAAAAACATATATAAATTATGTTTATAGTTCTAAAATTGCTTCTATTTATATTTGTTTCTACCCTTTGCCTTTTATAATTCTATTTGTGCTTATATTCTTAATATAAATTCCTCTGCATCAAACATTAGATATACGGTTTAAAGAATAACTATATGCATGTCCAAATACCCACCACCTAGCTTAAGCAATATATTATTGCAGGTACATAGAGGCTCCTGCATTCTCCCTTCCCTCCCCATAGAAGTATCCACTGCTCTTACTTTTGTGGTGATTATTCTCTTTCTTCTCTTTGTAACAGGTATGTATTCTTAAACAATGTGTTATTTTGTCCTGCTGGTTTAGAACTTTATATAGATGGAATCATATTTTGTATATGCTTCTTTGATTAGATTATTTTGCTCTATAGTGTATTTTTGATACATGAAACTGTAGTTCATGCATTTTCACTGCTATATAATATTCCATCGAGTGATCATTCCACATTTTTATGTATGTATTCTTTATTGATTAATATTTGAGTCATTTATCATTTTTAGCTATTACAAATAATGGTGCTATAAACATTTTTGTACATGTCTCCCAGCGAATAAGTGCAAGGATTTCTTTTGAGTACTTTTCTAGAAGGGTTTAGAAATTGCTGAATAGTAGGATATTTTGATCTTTAACTTTACTATATTAAGCCCACTTGTTTCCCAAGGTGGTTGTACCAGATTACAGTAAGAGTTCTGTTGCTCAGTATTCTCACTGATTCTTGCTATTGCCAGATTTCTAAATTTTCTGATCTGGTGGCTGTCAAATGGTATTTCATTGTACTTTAATATTTCCCTGGTCACTAATGGGATTGAATCTAGTTTCATGTGTTCCTTGTGGATTTTAGCCATTCTAATTTCCTCTGCTGGAGTCATTTAGTTTCCTGTTTGTCTTGTCTTTTTTTTATTGATTCTTAGGAGCTATTTATATAATCCAGCTTTTTTTTTTTCCCCAGTGATAGGTGCTACAAATATCCTCTCCCCTTTCATGGCTTATCTTTTCACTCTCTGTTGTGTTTTTTCATGATGGAAGTTCTTAATTTTAATGTAATTGAATTTGTTATTATTCTTTGTGAATATAAACATTTGGGTCACATTTAAGAGCATATAAGTATATTTCATTTGTTGACTTGTAAAATTTTATAGTTTTACTTTGCACATTTTTTATTTTTATTTATGGACTTTATTTTTTAGAGAAATGTTAGGTCTACAGAAAAATTAAGCAGAAAGTACAGTTTCCATATGCTCTCTCTCTTTCCCCTTCCCTAATTTTAACAAGTTGTGTTAATGTGGTGCTTTTGTTACAATTGATAAACCAGTAGTGATACAATATTATTATTATTTTTTTTTATTGAAGGGTAGTTGACACACAGTATTACATTAGTTTCAGGTGTACAACACAATGATTCAACATTTATATACATGATAATTCTAGCTACCAGCTATCACCATACAAAGTTGTTACAATATTTTGACTATATTCCTTATGCTATACATTACATCCCAGTTACTTATTTATTTTACAATTGCAAGTCTGTACTTTCTGTTTGTTTGTTTGTTTGTTTTGTTTTCTGAGAGGGCATCTCTCATATTTATTGATCAAATGGTTGTTAACAACAATAAAATTCTGTATAGGGGAGTCAATGCTCAATGCACAATCAGTAATCCACCCCAAGCCTAATTTTCGTCAGTCTCCAATCTTCTGAAGCCTAACGAACAAGTTCTTACATGGAGAACAAATTCTTACATAGTGAATAAGTTACATGGTGAACAGTACAAGGGCAGTCATCACAGAA